ACCTTGGGAGGCAGGTCACCCTGGGAGGCAGGTCACCCTGGGAGGCAGGTCACCATGGGAGGCAGGTCACCATGGTGAGGCAGGTCACCATGGGAGGCAGGTCACCCTGGGAGGCAGGTCACCTTGGGAGGCAGGTCACCTTGGGAGGCAGGTCACCCTGGGAGGCAGGTCACCCTGGGAGGCAGGTCACCTTGGGAGGCAGGTCACCCTGGGAGGCAGGTCACCATGGGAGGCAGGTCACCATGGTGAGGCAGGTCACCATGGGAGGCAGGTCACCCTGGGAGGCAGGTCACCTTGGGAGGCAGGTCACCCTGGGAGGCAGGTCACCCTGGGAGGCAGGTCACCCTGGGAGGCAGGTCACCTTGGGAGGCAGGTCACCCTGGGAGGCAGGTCACCCTGGGAGGCAGGTCACCCTGGAAGGCAGGTCACCATGGTGAGGCAGGTCACCATGGGAGGCAGGTCACCCTGGGAGGCAGGTCACCATGGTGAGGCAGGTCACCCTGGGAGGCAGGTCACACTGGGAGGCAGGTCACCCTGGGAGGCAGGTCACCCTGGGAGGCAGGTAACCATGGTGAGGCAGGTAACCATGGTGAGGCAGGTCACCCTGGGAGGCAGGTCACCCTGGGAGGCACGGTCACACTGGGAGGCAGGTCACCCTGGGAGGCAGGTCACCCTGGGAGGCAGGTCACACTGGGAGGCACGGTCACACTGGGAGGCAGGTCACCCTGGGAGGCAGGTCACCCTGGGAGGCAGGTCACCATGGGAGGCAGGTCACACTGGGAGGCCGGTCACCCTGGGAGGCAGGTCACCCTGGGAGGCAGGGTCACACTGGGAGGCAGGTCACCCTGGGAGGCAGGTCACCCTGGGAGGCAGGTCACCCTGGGAGGCAGGGTCACACTGGGAGGCCGGTCACCATGGGAGGCAGGTCACCCTGGGAGGCAGGTCACCCTGGGAGGCAGGTCACCCTGGGAGGCAGGTCACCCTGGGAGGCAGGTCACCCTGGGAGGCAGGTCACCCTGGGAGGCAGGTCACCCTGGGAGGCAGGTCACCCTGGGAGGCAGGTCACCCTGGGAGGCAGGTCACCCTGGGAGGCAGGGTCACACTGGGAGGCAGGTCACCCTGGGAGGCAGGGTCACACTGGGAGGCAGGTCACCCTGGGAGGCAGGGTCACACTGGGAGGCAGGTCACACTGGGAGGCAGGTCACACTGGGAGGCAGGTCACACTGGGAGGCAGGGTCACACTGGGAGGCAGGTCACTCTGGGAGGCAGGTCACACTGGGAGGCAGGTCACTCTGGGAGGCAGGGTCACCCTGGGAGGCAGGTCACACTGGGAGGCAGGTCACACTGGGAGGCAGGTCACCCTGGGAGGCAGGTCACTCTGGGAGGCAGGGTCACACTGGGAGGCAGGGTCACACTGGGAGGCAGGGTCACCCTGGGAGGCAGGGTCACACTTGGAGGCATGTCACCCTGGGAGGCAGGTCACTCTGGGAGGCAGGTCACCCTGGAAGGCAGGTCACCATGGGAGGCAGGGTCACACTGTGAGGCAGGTCACACTGGGAGGCAGGTCACCATGGGAGGCAGGGTCACACTTGGAGGCATGTCACCCTGGGAGGCAGGTCACTCTGGGAGGCAGGGTCACACTGGGAGGCAGGGTCACACTGGGAGGCAGGGTCACCCTGGGAGGCAGGGTCACACTTGGAGGCATGTCACCCTGGGAGGCAGGTCACTCTGGGAGGCAGGTCACCCTGGAAGGCAGGTCACCATGGGAGGCAGGGTCACACTGGGAGGCAGGTCACCATGGGAGGCAGGTCACCATGGGAGGCAGGGTCACACTTGGAGGCATGTCACCCTGGGAGGCAGGTCACTCTGGGAGGCAGGTCACCCTGGAAGGCAGGTCACCATGGGAGGCAGGGTCACCCTGGGAGGCAGGTCACCCTGGGAGGCAGGTCACCCAGGGAGGCAGGTCACCCTGGGAGGCATGGGTCACACTGGGAGGCAGGTCACCCTGGGAGGTAGGTCACCCTGGGAGGCAGGTCACTCTGGGAGGCAGGTCACCCTGGGAGGCAGGGCACCATGGGAGGCAGGTCACCCTGGGAGGCAGGTCACCCTGGGAGGCAGGTCACCCTGGGAGGCAGGGTCACACTGGGAGGCAGGTCACCCTGAGAGGCAGGTCACCATGGGAGGCAGTTCACCCTGGGAGGCAGGTCACCCTGGGAGGCAGGGTCACACTGGGAGGCAGGTCACCCTGGGAGGCAGGGCACCATGGGTGGCAGGTCACCCTGGGAGGCAGGTCACCCTGGGAGGCAGGTCACCCTGTGAGGCAGGGTCACCCTGGGAGGCAGGTCACCCTGGGAGGCAGGGTCACCCTGGGAGGCAGGTCACCCTGGGAGGCAGGGCTCACACCGTACGACAAAGTGGCCGTGCAGGCTGGCGTGCCCTTGGGGCCGGGAATCAGGTTAGTGTCGTACGACAAGAGGTGTGGCCGGCATGTCCTTCGCCTCGACCAATCACGAGGCTGATCGCCCTCACCAGATGGGGGGTGTGTTCTCGCCACTGACCAATAAGCTTGCGGCAGATATTACATGTACGCAAACCAATCACAACTGAGCTGATTTTAACATTTATCTTTGATTCGCAGATTACAGATCGTCATTTAACACCCGAGAGTTTCTCTTGACGTAAAAAAACTATGAATTATCGTAGTATCGCAGTTCCATGTTTGTGCCAGCCAAGAGTCTAAAGTTGGACCCAGATACTGGACTCACTCCAAGTATCGCCAACAGGAGCCGCCCAACAAACCCGTCAAATAACATTGTGGTAACTATTGGTTATTATCACCTGTTAACGACGTAATAACCTTTTTAAAAGCGTTGTAGTTACGTTGCGTTTCCAAGGGATCGCACTACCTATTTAGCCTGTGTGCAGGACTTCGAGAAGCTAAAGTGTTAACAACAGGAGTGACGATAAAATTAGACGAGACTTCAATTTTCACAATGTGAGGCCTCTATAGGCCTAGATCTGATGTTGAGAGCTGAGGTAGGCCTAGTAGAGGGGACGGGGGGATGAAATGAGAGAAAGTTTAGGTGAGGTGTGACTGAGGTCAGTGCGGGGATCGCCACCCATGAGCGATTATTGATTAATTGCTTAATTAATATATAATAAATGTATGTTTTAATACGTAAGCCTTCACAACATGGTAGTCCTTTTGTGTGTGTGTGTACTCACCTAGTTGTGCTTGCAGGGGTTGAGCTTCGGTTCTCTGGCCTCTCAACTGTCAATCAACTGGTGTACAGGTTCCTGAGCCTACTGGGCTCAAGACCTGTCTCTCTGACCCGTGCCATATCAACACTTGAAACAGTGTATGGAGTCAGCCTCCACCACATCACATCCTAGTGCATTTCATCTGTTAACTACTCCGACACTGAAAAAAATTCTTTCTATTGTCTCTGTGGCTCATTTGGGTACTCAGTCTCCACCTGTGTCCCCTTGTTCGCGTCCCACCAGTGCTAAAGAGTTTGTCTTTGTCCTTCCTGTCAATTCCCCTGAGAATTTCATAGGTGGTTGTCATGTCTTCCCTTACTCTTCGGTTTTCCAGGGACGTCAGTTTCAACTCCTTTAGCCTTTCCTCGTAGCTCATACCTCTCAGTTGCGGGACGTGTCTGGTGGCATACCGCTGAATCTTCTCTACCTTTGTCTTGTCCCTTTATTGAATAAATTACTGTAATAGATCCAAGTATTACAGAGTTGTTCATTAGTTAGCTAGTATTCGTTTAATGTGCTTTAATATATAGTAAGTGTATCACTGGTAGATTAGGATGTTCCCAGGAAAGTAATTATGGGAATTAACTATGCAATTAATCAGTTACTAGAGTAGTGTTACTCATTCGTTCCCACAGACTGGGACTTTACTTTATAATTGGCATTATTATATAAATTATAACTCCATAATTCTATTGTCAGAAACTCACTATTTTCAATTGAATTGTTGAAGTTATCCCTGTTTGTCTTAATCTAAAATCTTCATACCTTTGGAGCGAAGGAAAACAAACATTTCATGTCTTCAGTGTATACATGCTTGGGGCCCGGATGGGTAGAGGAATGACCACTACTTCAGGATAACAATTCCATAACAACGATTACGAGGAGCTTCAGAGCTCGTACATTAGTAAATATCGGCTAAGGCGTCCTGAGCGAGGTAAGAGCTACATACAACACGTAAGGGACTCGTAGGATCTTGATGAATCGCATTTCATACTGTACCTCATACTTCCAGACCGATCTTACCTGTATCTTACCGGATCTAACCTGACGAGTAAGATCCTGGCCAGCCTAGCTCACCTGACCTGTCGCGTCACGTACAGTTATTAGTGTAACGAAACGTCAATATTGCGCTGCTCTTCGTTTCAGTAAGGAGCTAGAATTTTCCCGCTGAGGTCGCAGGCGTTGAAAATGTTGCGGATTAAGTGTGAGGACAGGTTGGTGTCTGAATCTCTTTCTGGCTCCTGCCAGTTAGTGGAGCTCTCTGACCCCTGCCAGTTAGTGGAGCTCACTGACCCCTGCCAGTTAGTGGAGCTCTCTGACCCCTGCCAGTTAGTGGAGCTCTCTGACCCCTGCCAGTTAGTGGAGCTCTCTAGCTCCTGCCAGTTAGTGGAGCTCTCTGACCCCTGCCAGTTAGTGGAGCTCTCTGACCCCTGCCAGTTAGTGGAGTTCTCTGACCCCTGCCAGTTAGTGGAGCTCTCTGACCTCTGCCAGTTAGTGGAGCTCCCTAGCCCCTGCCAGTTAGTGGAGCTCTCTGACCCCTGCCAGTTAGTGGAGCTCCCTAGCCCCTGCCAGTTAGGGGAGCTCTGACCCCTGGCAGTTAGTGGAGCTCTATGACCCCTGGCAGTTAGTGGAGCTCCCTAACCCCTGCCAGTTAGTGGAGCTCTGACCCCTGGCAGTTAGTGGAGCTCCCTAGCCCCTGCCAGTTAATAGAGCAGGGTAAAGGAGAGGGAAAGGCAGTATTGAACACTCAGTTTTATTAATAATGTCCTCATGTGAGACTGGTCGGTACACTGATGACCTCTGTGTGACTATATACTGGTATATACTGATGACCTCACGTTGACTAGGAAGGTATATACACGGACCACCTCATTGACACTGCCTCTGTCTTAGTAATACTGTACCTATCTTAATTAACCTGTGTCAGTCTTAGTGACACTGTCATGCTCACTTCCTTTCTGCAACTAATTTGTCTAACCTTTTTTTTTCTACTTGCAGCCATTTGTGTAACTTGTGAATTGAAAGTTATAATATAAAGTTAGGCTACGAGATAACAGACGCGTTTGGGCTGTTGTAAATGAACATTATCTGATGTCAGGCAGTAGTCTGTTGTGTCAGTTAATGGCTGTCAGCTAGTGTGTGTGAGACTGTCAGTTAGTGTGTGGGACTGTCAGTTAGTGTGTGGGACTGTCAGTTAGTGTATGGGACTATTAGTTAGTGTGTGGGACTGTCAGTTAGCGTGTGGGACTGTCAGTTAGTGTGTGGGACTGTCAGTTAGTGTGTGGGACTGTCAGTTAGTGTGTGGGACTGTCAGTTAGTGTGTGGGACTGTCAGTTAGTGTGTGGGACTATTAGTTAGTGTGTGGGACTGTCAGTTAGTGTGTGGGACTGTCAGTTAGTGTGTGGGACTGTCAGTTAGTGTGTGGGACTATCAGTTAGTGTGTGGGACTGTCAGTTAGTGTGTGGGACTGTCAGTTAGTGTGTGGGACTGTCAGTTAGTGTGTGGGACTATTAGTTAGTGTGTGGGACTGTCAGTTAGTGTGTGGGACTGTCAGTTAGTGTGTGGGACTGTCAGTTAGCGTGTGGGACTGTCAATTAGTGTGTGGGACTGTCAGTTAGTGTGTGGGACTGTCAGTTAGTGTGTGGGACTGTCAGGTTTTGTGTCATTTAATAGAGAGTGGTCGTATTGTGCGGAATGTTGGAACGCGAGTGTGGTGAATGACGTTTATTGGGGTTGAAACACATCCGGATGATAACGGTTGGTAGGTACAGCTATGAAACTTATGTCGTGTAGCCATGAAACATGTGTCTTACAGTCGTGAAACATGTGTCTTAGTCATGAAACATGCTTTATTCAGCCATGGTACATGTGTCTTGTAGCTATGGTACTTGTGTCTTGTAGCCTTGAAAAATGTGTCTTCCAGCCATGAAACATGTTTCTTGCAGCCATGATATATGTGTCGTGCAACCCTGAAACATGTATTTTCCAGCCATGAAACATGTTTCTTCCAGTCATGACACATATGTCTTGCAGCCATGAAACATGTTTATTCCATGAAGCATGTGTCTTGTAGTCGTAGAATATGTGTCTTACAGTCATAAGACATTCAGTGTCATGTTAAATTATTTTCCCACAAGACAAAGTTCTTCAAATAAAAACTTGATTTTGAATGAAAGAAAAAACATTCATCATTGTTTAAGTGACATGTATCAGTAATATTTTAATATGCCTTAAAGTAAGTGTTACAATTATATAATAAATTTAAAATACAAAAAGTTTTTATGATCATTTAATCATAAACGACAAATATCAAACTCATTTTACATAGAAGAACTAAGCGAGTTAAGGTTTGCACAGTCTGGAAATATAAAATAGAATGCTCTGTGAGATTGTAGATCACCTTATAACCAACATTTAATTTCATTTGCTCTTAATTATGATCTAAAATCTTGTGGTGTCACCCGTCTCCTCCAGCAATGTTTGTGTTTGCTTAGCATGGAGCAAGAGGCTTCGTATATATAGGTGGCTCGCTTCTGAGCGCTCTTATAGTATATAGAAGGGTATAAGCCCTTCAGTGACCTTATTGACACACCTGTAAAACAGATGCTAAAAGTGGTATATATATATATTTGTATCACAATGTGTGGAGGCTGTCAGACCTGGCAGGTGTTGCGACAGCTGCGGAGGCCGGCGGTGTGGCCAGATACAGGCGGCTGTTGAGGCAGCTTCTTCCTCTCTTGGAGGAGGAGAGACGCAGGTGGAGAGGGAGAGAGAGAAATGAAGGGTCTTGAGGACCATGTTCGTTGTTGACTTGATATAGAGGGCATTACTGGTCGGTGGTGGGCACCTTCCCCCTCACCGCCATCCACCAGGGGTACCGAGTTAGCTGATCCTGCTCGCTGCCAACCACTACAGACGACCCGCCCCTCTCCATGCATGACACAACCCGCGTCACTTCACTCTGCAGAGGAAACCAGGGGTCACGTGAATAATAATATGTCAACAGCTTACTGTGCTGGAATAATTTTGGTATAACAATTGTTAGCAAGTCGTCGGCATCAGGGGTCGTGACCCCGTCCCCTACACATCACCCCCCGTGCACCAGTAGGAATCACTAACGTTACTTACGTCAGCAAGACACTAAACCCGCTTCCAAATCTACATTCATGTAAAAATCTGAAAAGATATGCATCAAAGCAACTCATTATTTTTTGGGAGAATCACCAGATCAAAATCAGACCTCTTCAGAGCACTCCTGCGTTCAGAGTAGACTAAACGAACACAGAGCAGACCATGCACGTCCCAAGGACAGCGGCCAAGACAGACACCAATACTCCATAGTGGAGATAGAAATATTAAGATAGCGTCATTAATTAATAACTTGACAGGTATCTGTAAATCAGCCTCGGTCGTCCACTGACTTGTCATACACGTCGACTTATTTTGTCCTGCAAACTAATAATGTATTAAGTATACGTGATCGTATAATAAGTTACTTTACATTCGTCGACTAGCATTCCGAGGCTTCTAATAATTATACAGAACATTACACACGAGTATTTGAGGCCGTCCAAAAATACAGTGATTTAGCACAGATCTGGAGTCTATGAAAGCTGCGGTGAAGACAGTAATTAAGCATCGCAAGTATCCGGCTAATCAGAAGCCGTAAACAAGGCAGGTAACCGGCTACACTAAAATGGTTGACAAGGGAGATATCCGGGTAAACAGAGCCGGAAAACAACGGTAGTATCCGGCTAGACAGACATGGTAGACAAGGGAGGTATATCCGGCTACACAGCGACGATACAGGAGGGCTTAGGAACGAGAGTGAGACAAGCGGTGGATATACATCAGAGCTAATTGGTACACGCCTCTCCCTCCTCTACAGTCATTAGGCTCTATCTCTAGAGGCTCCTGTCTCCTTAGGGGCCCCTGTCACCCAGAGGCTCCTGTCACCCAGAGGCTCCTGTCACCCAGAGGCTCCTGTCACCCAGAGGCTCTTGTCACCCAGAGGCTCCTGTCATCCAGAGGCTCCTGTCACCCAGAGGCTTCTGTCACCCAGAGGCTCCTGTCACCCAGAGGCTCCTGTCACCCAGAGGCTCCTGTCACTCAGAGGCTCCTGTCACCCAGAGGCTCCTGTCACCCAGACGCTCCTGTCACCCAGAGGCTTCTGTCACCCAGAGGCTCTTGTCACCCAGAGGCTCCTGTCACCCAGAGGCTCCTATCCCCCAGAGGCTCCTGTCACCCAGAGGCTCCTGTCACCCAGAGGCTCCTGTCACCTAGAGGCTCCTGTCACCCAGAGGCTCCTGTCACCCAGACGCTCCTGTCACCCAGAGGCTTCTGTCACCCAGAGGCTCCTGTCACCCAGAGGCTCCTGTCACCCAGAGGCTCCTATCCCAAAGAGGCTCCTGTCACCCAGAGGCTCCTGTCACCCAGAGGCTCCTGTCACTCAGAGGCTCCTGTCACCCAGAGGCTCCTGTCACCCAGAGGCTCATATCCCAAAGAGGCTCCTGTCACCCAGAGGCTCCTGTCACCCAGAGACTCCTGTCACCCAGAGACTCCTGTCACCCAGAGGCTCCTGTCACCCAGAGACTCCTGTCACCCAGAGACTCCTGTCACCCAGAGGCTCCTGTCATTCCAAGTCTCCCGTCACACAAACTCTCCTGTCACCGCCGAAGCGTCTGTCTCTCGCTGTCTCACTCTCGGGTATTTGAAACCGAGAACCAGGACAGAGCAATGAAAGGCATGTGTACAAGGCAGAGACGGTGGATAACAAAGGTGGATAGATGAGGATCGTCCTTAAGAGAAGAAGAACCACATATGATAACGTAGCTGCAGGAGGAAATAGGGAAAATATCTAGTTGTAGATTATAATAATGTCAAACAGGAGCAGCACGAAGCATTTTCAAGGCCTCGAAAATTCTGGACTTTTGTCTACATTTGTGAGACGACACGGCTGAAAAAATCTGATCATTTTACGCAGATTTACACTTTTTTCTACAATTGATGTTCACATGAATGTAACTAAGTACGTTAACAGCAAGCAAAAAAATAAATACACTTATATATAACCGCAAACTCCTCATCCCTGAAGGATTCGAACCCAGACAGCCAGGGGCACCATGCACCTTAGCGAATCCAGTCCTTTACCCGCTAGACCACACTGACTGTTCAAAAAGGATTGGAAGTCGTCAGACCCTTAACCCAACCACCGACAGTACTCGGTGGTCAATTTTGGGGACAGATATTCCATCGAACCGCCTCGCATGTTGGGAGCCACGTGAGTAACACAAATACGAACAAGCTTGAGTGGTCCCCAAGTAATATGCAACCGGAAACTCATCACTCATGAAGAAGGTGAGGAGAACTCCTCACACTAATCCTTTTGAACAGTCAGTGTGGTCTAGCGGGTAAAGTACTGGATACGCTAAGGTGCATGTAGCATGTAGCCTGGCTATCTGGGTTCGAATCCTTCTGGGGTGAGGAATTTTCGGTTGCAAATTGACTTGAGGACTATTCAAGCTTGTTTATATATATATATATATATATATATATATATATATATATATATATATATATATATATATATATATATATATATATATATATATATATATATATATATCGTACCTAGTAGCCAGAACGCACTTCTCGGCCTACTATGCAAGGCCCGATTTGCCTCATAGGCCAAGTGATTTTCTTTATTTTCAAAAACTATTTCCAATTGGTTTATATGAAATATTATTATTATATTATATTAAGAACATAAATTATTGACTTAGTTATGTTAGTTTAGGTTAGGGGTAAGATAGGTTAGGTTACTATAGGTAGGGTAGGTTAGGTTGAACCATATATTTACGCTAGTTTTAGCCTAAATTTAAAAAAATTAACTCATTCATAATGAAATGGATAGCTTTATAATTTCATAAGAAAAAAATGGAAAAATATATCAATTCAGGAAAACTTGGCTTATTAGGCAAATCGGGCCAAATATCCTGCAATATGAATAAGCTCCGAATCGAGTCCATAACACAATATCACTACCTTCACCTCAACCATTCAAGTGAGGTGAAGGAAGATGATAGTCGCCGTGTTATCAGGAGGAAGAGACGCTGTGTGCCTGAGATACAGCTGACCGAGGCTTCCCCGACCTCACAAGTGAGGACGTCAACAGTTCAAGGCTTCCACCCCTGGCAACCTCCAGGGGTGGAACACCTCCACCCTACCCAGTGGAGAAAGACACACCCCCGGGTTCGACCCCCTGGCAGGATAAGCACCTCCACCCTACCTCTATGATCTTAGCCAGGAGGCCGGAGACGTAATTCATGTCAAGACTGCAATCAGGGCTGAGCACCACGTCAGCGTCTACTTCTGGAGCTTCGGCCAGAGGTGACGCAGCCACCGCTCCTGTGGCCGGTGGCGAGCGCTTGCCCATGGATCCTCCGGCGCCCCACCCGCGATTCCAGTGGATCTGAAAGGAAAGGTGACTATGAGGGGCCGAGGACAGCATAATCTGCGAGCGTCTGAAAGGAGAACCTATTGTTTTTTCTGCGAGTACCAGGCTGTTGTGCTCCGCTCATTGCAATACATGTCTTATAAGTAGTAGGCATCCATCAGTCTCAGGAGACTATGGAGTTGCGTTCTGATGTCGGCCTGAGTTTAATGAGTATAAAAGACTATTATTATACTCATTAAACTGTGTAACTAGCTTCTCAAGATTGTTACTTGCTTAGCTAAGTGACCTGTGGGGGAAGGCAGTTCCTGAGCCCATGATGTGCCTCTGTAATCTTTTCCTCTACTGCCAATGAGATAGGTATAGAGTCTTCAACCACTCACAGAATAGGTATAGAGGTCTACAACTACTCGCGTGATGGGTATGGGGGTTTACAATCACTCACAGAGTGGATCTGGGGATCTACAAACACTCACAGGATAGGTATGGGGTTTACAACCACTCATAGGATGGGGGGTGTGGGCTTTACAACAACTCACAGCATGGGTATGAGGTCTACAACCACCCATAGTATGAGTATGGGGCCTACAACCACTCACAGGATGGGTATGGGCTTTACAACTACTCTTAGAATGAGAATGAGCTTTACAACTACTCATCGGATAAGTTCTACAGCTTCTCACATGATGGGTATGAGATCTACAACAACTTACTAAATGGGTTACGGGGTGCATAACACATGAACAAAATCAGATCTGTGAGCTCAGAGAACAAGGGGGAAAGGAGAACAGGTACAGAAATATGAACACTGATGTACTCAAGCGTTGACGTTCAGTAATCATACAGAGGAGACGCGCTAACGTACAAATATTATTCGCAGTGATAGTTAACACTTTTTCCGTGTCTCTCTGGAAGGAAGCTAAACAGGGAGCAAGATGTGCTGTGCTATTTACATGTGCAAAAAACTTGTTCCTAAATGCTAATCTTGATCTGAAACTTTTCCTTGATAGGTGCAATAGAACCCATGAGCACCACACCAGAAATAAATTATATCTTTGATATCCTCAGACTAAATCTGTGCAAACACTCCATGCAAATAAGAGGACCCGGTCTACGGAACTCACTCCCTAACAAATTAAAAAAATCTCAAACCTTTGCCTTATAGAAAAGTAAAAGCAAAATGTATTTAATTTTATCCTCATAGTTTGCTACCATGTGTTTCAAACTTACACTTTATCTTGTACTACCCACTTCCCTAATATTAGTACCTAAGACCTATATATATATCTTCACCAGTGTAACCACCTCTGTCAATTAATATTGTAGTTATATGTGATGTAAATTTTTCTACAATGTAGCAAAATTTATATCACATCTTACCTTGAGGTTACCTTGAGGTGCTTCCGGGGCTTAGCGTCCCCGCGGCCCGGTCGTCGACCAGGCCTCCTGGTTGCCGGACTGATCAACCAGGCTGTTGGACGCGGCTGCTCGCAGCCTGACGTATGAGTCACAGCCTGGTTGATCAGGTATCCTTTGGATACCTGATCAACCACATCAACCACAACCACAACCACCACAAGATAATACATCTTACCTGATGTATTAGATTAAATCTTTTCATCTTACCTGATATATTAGATTAAAGACCTAGTCTTTACTCTAATGCATAATGAAACACTATGCTTGTTAGTGGCTTTGCAAGAATGTAACAATACGAATGTTATATAATCTCATATACCCATTGTTCCTTCTTGTGAATAAATATTATTATTATTATTATTATTTAGTGCCATTTTCCCGCAGGCTATTTTTTTTTTTTAATTTTACAACAGTTTGCCTTGCGACGAACTCTACGCTTTCAAGCAAGCTTCTTGTTGCTTTTCGTGAATTATATTGTATAAGGAATAGTGTAGATTTTTTTTTTTTTTTTTTTTTTTTTTTTTGAGATATATACAAGAGTTGTTACATTCTTGTACAGCCACTAGTACGCGTAGCGTTTCGAGCAAGTCCTTAATCCTATGGTCCCTGGAATACGATCCCCGCCGCGAAGAATCGTTTTTTCATCCAAGTACACATTTTACTGTTGCGTTAAACAGAGGCTACAGTTAAGGAATTGCGCCCAGTAAATCCTCCCCGGCCAGGATACGAACCCATGACATAGCGCTCGCGGAACGCCAGGCGAGTGTCTTACCACTACACCACGGAGACTGTAATATTTTAATTATAGTAGCCTTTCCTCATAACTCATACTTCTCAGCTCCGGGACTAGTCTTGCGGGATCGTGTATCTAATTTTTCTCTATCTTCGTCATGTATTTAACTAGATATGGACTCCACCATGGAGCCACACATAGACATTTACCCGAGCATCCCTTGCGACAGCCCCATGGAGCTCATGAAACTACGCTAGTCAGTCCTTTATTAACATTCATGGAGATCCTTCTAACTAGTGGGGGGACTCTGGTAGTCGACCGGATTACTCCTTCCATTACTCTTGCACTCCCTACTATTACTACTCCCTAGCAACCTCTCTCACGGCGTAAGCACCCTCAGCAGTCCCTTCTTTTGATTGGCCACAACGTACAAAATACAAAGTGTTAATCTAAACAGAAACGCACGAACCCAAGCCTCTTAGACCTAACCTACACTATCGATATATAGAAAACGTGGATGTTTCTGAGCTGCTACTTTTCATATTACTTTGTAATTTATTCGTTTGAGGACCATAATTTACAAAATGAGATGTACTAGTTACGAGAAGAAGTTGAAAGTTCAAGCACCTCCATCCCACTATCCAAGCTCTCCTTTCCACTCAACCCCTGTCCCTCCCATCCTTGTTTTGGTGTTTACACTGGCAGGCTGAAGCGTCCCTCAAGCTATAACTTTAATATTTTCATAGAAGTCGGTGAGGCAGCCTTTAAAAAGCCCATCCCTTTATCGTCACAACACTGATTATACTGCGGTGCCCCGACAGGCAGGGGTAGTGGAGCAGGGGGGGGGGTGGTTCTCTGAGAGAAGGTGGAAGGTGGAGGAATTGTGGAGGTGTCCCCCCCCCTCTCTCTCTCTCTCTCTCTCTCTCTCTCTCTCTCTCTCTCTCTCTCTCTCTCTCTCTCTCTCTCTCTCTCTCTCTCTCTCTCTCTCTCTCTCTCTCTCTCTTTTCCCTAGCTATCATGGTGGTTCAATACAATAAAAACATTAAAGAACAGAATACACCATGGAGAGATAAAATCACTGGCACAACTGGAATTGGGAAACTATGCTTGAGGAAGAATTAAAGAAAAGGTTAAGAAAAAGAGTTGGAAGGATGACTATGAAACAAGCAAAGAACATACTTAATGAATATTGAGGGATAAGATGTAGTATATATATAGCTTTTGATAAGGTACCTTATGAAAGATTAGAAGGAAATTACAAGCACATAGAATAACTGTTAGAATATTAGGGTGGATAAAACAATGATTAAAACAACGAAAGCAAAGGGTCGTCCTAAACGAGAATGAATCTGACGGAACGTGGTGAGTGAGGCACCACAAGCGTACGTGAATACTGTTGAAGGAACCTACGAACGTAAATAAGTTGAATTCATTAAATGAGGAAGTTGTCAATGCTATTTCAATATACAGTTTTAAACTAAAATACAATTAAAAAAATGAACTATTGATGATTAAATAGCACAGCCCATCCTACGAATAGACAATACATTTTAATACTAAATGTAATAAGTACAATCCTCATTCTGCATAGTACATAAATACACTTAATCTAACAAAATATTGTGAATATTGGAGTTTACCTGAAAAGCTGTTTAGAAAACCACGACCACAGACGACCTTGGGAGTGTAGCAGGACAAGCATGTAAATAGTATTTATTGCTTCTTAATTACAATTAGTACTTAACCTATAGCTATATTGATATTAAAATTTTATAAAACTAATAAAACAAAACTAAAGTCTTTCAATAAATTATCAAGTAACTCGGTATAATTTCAAATTTTGTATAAAATCTCTATTGTTTAATAAAACTGAAAAATAATATTTTTATATTTAAAATTTTGTAAATATTTAATACTTGGATAAAAGTTTCAAAAATTTTTTTAGTATATTAGTACAAAATTAGAATATATGGGGAGGTTCATTCAATCTGAAAATTGCGATTAACTTTCCAAACAGTTTTTAAGCTAATTTTATAATTCTGTAATAATACATATTCTGAAAGACAGTAGCATAAAGAAAGAGGGAGAAAACCAGGGTACCCGGTTACCTTGTGATGATTCCGAGGATCAATGTCCCGCGGCCCGATCTTTTACCAGGTGAGAGAGAAGGAGACAGAAGAAGAGAGAGAGAATGGTAACATCCTTCACCTCGCAAGCAATTTGGCATGTGTTCGTATCCTGGCTGGGGAGGATTAACCAGGCGTCAATCCTTAACTGCTCACATCTGCTCACCAGCAATAATTGGGTACCTGGTTGCTAACCGATTGGGGGGGGGGTCGTGTTCCAGGGAATATGATAGCAGCATATAAAATACTTAGGGGGATTGACAGAGTGGAAAAAGACGAAATATTTACACGGAATACCATCAGAACAAGGGGATATGAGTGGAAACTCAAAATAGAGATGTTACAAAGTTTTCTTTTGGCGTGAGAGTAGTGGGGAAATGGAATGAACTAAAAGGAGCACATTGTGAAAGCAAACACTATTCATAACTTTAAAACTAGGTATGATAGAGAAAGACAGTAGTCATTGCTTTAAACAACCGGCGGCTAGAAAGGCGGGATCCAAGAGCTCGATCCTGTAGGCACAAATAGGTGAGTACACACACACACAATGGGACCAAAGAGCCAGAGCTCAACCCCCGCAAACACAACTAGGTGAGTACACATACATGATGATGGCACTACCACTGTCACTAACAGAGTGACGACAGTATAACCCCCCGCGAGGCACTGACCTGTGAGGCAGTAGGAGTGACGCAGGCGGCCAGTGCCACCAGGGTGAGCAGGAGAGCCTTGACACTTGTGGCATCCATGTGACAGGTCATCTGAGGACAGTGGCACCTTCTGTTAGACAAGACCCAAGAGTCTGCATGACGAGGTGACGTATACTGTGTCATCACATGACAGGATGATGCACTATATGAGACCATAAAATGTTATATGACAGTGTAATATGTCACGTGACTATAATGTAATACATGACTGTAATACATGACAGTAAAACATCAGTGTATAATATGAGTGTATAATGTGTAACTTGATACAGTAATGTATCATATGAACAGTGTAATGTATCACATGAGAGCGTAATGTACAATAAAGCACAATGTACATAAAAGAGATAATAAAGCACATTTACATAAAAGATGCAATAAAGCACAATGTACATAAAAGGTAATAATAATAAGGTACAACTTACATAAATACTATAACTTCACCTCCACAACGGCTAGTACAGTTACCACCTCTAGAGAATATATACAAATGTTCTAAAATGTTTAGAATGTATTCTAAAATGTGTATTAATATTCTAAAATACAAATAAAAACTCTTGCTCCCCCCCCCTCCCCAGCTCACATTTTGTGCTTTACTTCTGTGAAAGTTAGAAGAAAGAATGGAACAAGCCTGACATAACTTCTCGTAAGCCTTGTATATTACATATGTGGACTACGTTAGGCTTACGAATGGCTATATTTGGCCTTAGAACTAAGAGATTTTAGATTTGGCTTTCGCTCGAGTTGTTGTTTTTATATATAGTATATTAGGCCTTCATATAGCGTGTATTAGGCCTAGGATGGTCAGGTTAGGTTATAATATATTAACAACATTAATACATAGCCTTTTCCAGTGTGGCCAAATTTAATATTACCAAATTATATTTGTTTACTTATTAACAAGTATACTTATTACATTGACAAATATAATCATTACGTCTATATATGCACGACGGTCGACATAATTACTATATTTACTATCTAAACAGAAGGATGGGTTGTTGAGACAGGAAGCCTTGTAGAGTGTCCCCCCCCCCCCCAAGGTGGAACTACTGACCAGTACTACTGAACTACCGGGTGTCATATACTACCCCCCCCCCCCCCCAGGGAGGAACCCCTACAACTCTTGCCTTAGTCCCGGGTGCCTATTTCCTGCTGGGTGAACCAGAGATCTCAGACAAAAGAAAACGTGCCTAAATACATGTGAAGGAACGCATCAAAAGTTTACATAAGAGGACCTCCCACGTTTGCTGTGAGAGAACGCAACGGAAGGTGGGAGGAGCGTCCACAGTCGTTCCTTGTTCACCTTGTTCACCTTGTTCACCTTGTTCACCTTGCTCACCTTGTTCACTCAAACCTTGTTCAGAGGAGATAATTAAGTCACTGGAAGTGCCAATTGTGAAGGGGGAGGACGGCACTGTATGTGCCAGGTCAGCACAGGTCAGGGGCTTGGCGTCCGAGGCCGGCGGTGACAGGTGCCAGGTCAGGTGAGGTGGGCGGGTGCCACGGGGTCACACAAGCGGAAGGATGAGCAGCATCACTAAGATCAATATCCGGGGATGAAAAGGCATCTCTGGGGCAGGATTGCCGGCGCGCGTCTCCAGGGGCTGACGCCTCTCTCTCTCTCACTCTCCAGGTCAGCTCAGGTTAATAAAGCAATGCCGCTAAAGAAGCTGTTTTATTGCGTGGGTTTATGGCGAAGCAATAAAGAGGTCCAAACACAGCCAGGTACGGACGCCATAACAGGTGACCTCACGGCTGAGCTATTATGGTTGGCGGTGTGCACTCGGGTTAATGTATACTGTCCTGGTCGGAGGGGGGGGGGGGGAGTGGAGTGGTTGTTATGGTCACGTCTGTCATCCCGGGACGTGGGTCGTCTGTCATCCCGGGCACCTCCCCGTCTCTTTCCCTCTCTCCAGCACATCTACCTCAGCCTCCCCTCCTCCTCCTCCGTCACAACCGCTCCCCACAGCACCGAGCCGAGTGCTCTTCTATTCTCACATTCGAGGCCTGACTAATCCAAATTTGTGCGGCATATATTTTCCTCTGCCTCATCCAGGACCCGGCCACAGCCTCGTGTACAGCTGGTGTCTCTCCCAGCGTCATCTGCTGCTCCACCTCGCTAGCCTGCGTCTCCATCATCCCTCCCACACCATCTTCGTCGAGTTCCAGCCCCGCTCCTGTGCCAGGTAAGTTCACTACGGGCTCACCATAGCCAGTGCTACCTGGAACTTTTTGTTCCCCAGCAGCTGAAGCTATAACAACAACACCATCTTCGTCTACCGTCACCGTTATTCTCCCCCGGAGGAGGGGAGGTCTGAGGTCTCCACCCTTCCATCTCTCGCCTGACTGTGACCTACTTGGAGCCATGTTTATCTCCTTCCTTTATCTCCCTCCAGCGTTGTTGTCCCTCCCTGCTCCTTCCTTTCGCTTTTTTCCCATTCTGTTCTTTATCTTTCACCAGTTTTGTTCTCTTCCATTAACTGCTGTTCTTGGTTTCTAACGCAAGATTCGTCGGGCCTCCCGGAAACTGTTCTCTGATAATGTTTGGCTCGTCGGCGCTAGTTTCAGACCATAAGGGTCGTACGAAAGACAAACGTGACTAACACTGCGAAAATATAATGTTCAGTAATAGGTCTAAAATGTGTTTCATTTTTAGAGTTGGGTGTTATGTATTGTCATTCAAGATGTTATTCAATTCATTCGTCAATAACTCCAACATGAGATGCGTATATATGGTCCTTGAAAGGACACACTGCTAGAAAAAAGTATTCCTCTATATACTAATTAACTTTCTAGATTATGAGGTAGAAAGTTCTGATTATCAAAACTGAGCACTTAACGGCATTGTCCATTTGTTATATGAAATCTATTCAGTAGCACAACTGAGACGGATAGATATATTATATGGTACCTGGGGCCAGATTCACGACGCAGTTACGCAAGAACGTACGAACGTGTACATCTTTCCTCAATCTTTGACGACTTTGGTTACATTTATTAAACAGTTTACAAGCATGAAAACTTCACAATCATCTATTGCTATTGTTATAAACAGCCTCCTGGTGCTTCGGAGCTCATTAACTGTTTAATAATTGCAAACAAAGCCGCCAAAGATTGAGAAAAGATGGACAGGTTCGTAAGTGCTTCCTTAACTGCTTCGTGAATCTGGCCCCTGGCCTGTTTGTAAACAGTTACACTGAACACGTGGTCATCTGAGGCTCAAGGTCATACTAGCGTTATCTGCCTTTGAAGTGTTTCTACGCTGAGAGGTGAGATATACTGTGAACTCATGAGTAATGATACCAGGGAACCTTTGTCTCTTAATACGGAAGTCAGACAAAGGTATGCATGCATTAGACTGCATAAAGTCGACTGTTGAAAGACTTAAGGATCAGTAGTTGAGGCAGTCTTAATATCAACACTAAGGCTATGGTTAAGTGTTAGGCTGAAGGCTTATCAACCGTGAGAAGGTTATTAATGCTAACACAATGTTTTACGGACCAACCAGCAAGTATATCTGCGCTGAACTTTACCCAGTACAAAAGTTCCAAATGTATACACTGCGAGAAGCGAGGTATACCTCCATGTAAATACCTCCTCTTCCTTGATGGAGTTTACTGTTTGTGTTTTACTAAAGATCAACTTTCATTAGCATCTTCCAGAGATGATAACATGTTATCTATGTGGAAGATAAATATATTGTACTTGTGAATGCAACCTCATGTTTAAAACTAGTTAATGTGCTATAATATTTTCCAGCTCAAAAGACTCGTATTATTTTGATCTGATAAACAACTGAGCAGAGAAATATTTAAACAAAACAAAAAACACCTCGGTTATGTTATAATCCCCTATGTACAACTATTTCTGACATTGTTATATGTTTGAAAGTTAGAACAAATATCCTCTTGAGGTTATCTTGATATATATATATATATATATATATATATATATATATATATATATATATATATATATATATATATATATATATATATATATATATATGCAATTGACGATCACAAAACACTGATCATTTTATGCGGAAAATCCAGAGAAATATATTTCTCTGTGGATTTTCCGCATATATATATATATATATATATATATATATATATATATATATATATATATATATATATATATATATATACACATACAGAGAGATAGGTACCATCTCTGTGTTATGTTTCTCGGGACCCTTAGCCTCGAAGAAGAGGATATGAAGCCATGCAGGGCTCCTTCATATTATCATCTCTTGCAACCCCCTTTTCATTTTTTGTAATTATTTTATTTTATCTACAATTTCATGGTACAGGATTGGCTACAACATCGGTGACATTTAAGATACAAAGTTAGTTGTCACATGCTGTCGAGTTCCTCCAGCTCCTCGTTCAGCGTGAAGGAGTCATGAATGCTGTGTGGGTTTCCACTCTGCAGTGCCACACTGGGGCGCTGGCCTCTCTTTGGTCTCTTGGTGTTTCAAAGAGTTTAGAACCCAAATCCTTCAAGAAACTAGTGGCACTGGTATCCCAGGGATCAAATGTTTCTGAAGCAACACGGACAAAATTGTACTCATAACCCAGATCTCTGTACTTAAAGGACATGATTGATTCCCTGTAGATGACAGCAACAACTGATGTACAAGACTGAAGTCAACGGAAGTGTTTGGCAACGTTGATATGTCGTGTAGTCCCACACCAACTGCCTACCACTCTTGCAGGGGTGCACTGTCATCCCTCCTGAGCAAGCAGCAAGATTTGCAGAATTGTGCAATAGGTAACAGGATTCTCTGCTGGGCCCCCAGCCGTGGGAAAGGTTCTCTTAACGATGTCGTAAACTTCACTCTTCCTCGAGTGCCAAGATCCATGTGCTTTGGCAGAGCAGGCCAAGCTGACCGTATCTGTCGTCCTTCACCTCACCATAACTACACCTATGTCCAGTGTGGATTAGGGAGCAACAGGACAGAGAGCCACTTCAATTTAGAGTCCCTGTGGTGTGAGACGCATTTCAGTTGCTGGCATAGGGGTCGCTAATAGGAAGTCACCCGCATGGGGAGCTGCCACTGCTGTGAGGCAAGCGATCTCCCGTGGTGTTGATGCAGCATCCAGACACACTACAGCTGTTAAGACCGACTTAGCATCATCAATGACAGAGGGGACGTAAATTCAAAATACCAATGTCACTAAATAAGTACCCCCCTTCTTGTGGCCTCAGAGGCGAGGCTAAATGACCAACATGCAAGGATAATCAGGCCCTGCAGTATCACTGACCAGGCGAGTGTGTGTGTGTGGGTGGGAGGGGGCGTCACCTCTCAGGCTACGGTCGTTAAGATGGAAGGATTAATGTGGAGATTATCCACCTGTTGACAAGTAAATGATTATATTTAATATGAGGGGCTTCAGTTACGTTTTTATCTCTTATTATCGCTCTAAATATATCATTTAGATATATTTATCTAAATATTTATCTATATTTATCTATATATTGTGCAGCCTTACATATATTTATCTAAATATTTATTTATATTTATCTATATATTGTGCAGCCATTACACATATTTTCCCAACAGAGGTAAATAAATAGTAATATAGAACATTCCAACAATTGTATTTGAAATGAATTTTGTATAAATATTAATAGACATTATATATTTACATTCATTGCGCCTTAATCTTCAAAACACGCGATGCACAGTAGCAGGTGGACTGTTCCTGTGCACAGTAGCAGTTGGACTGTTCCTGTGCACAGTAGCAGCTCTCAGTTTCCTCCTCAACAGGAGGTATTAATGCCTCACTTGCTGATCCCTCTCTAGTCCTCTATTCACTTAAGAGGCAGCAAGTGAACCCAAACACTTACCAAACCTGTCCTTAAATATGGCGGCTTTGTTTACACTTATTAAACAGTGTTCGAGGTTGTAAACATCACAACTCAAGCTTATTACTGTTATGAACAACGTGGCAGGGTTTTGGTCCTCGTTAACTGTTTAGTAAATCTAAATGAAGCTCTCGTGATTGAGGAAAGATGTACAGGTTTCGCAAGTGGTTGAGGACATGCTTGATGAGTTCTCGCCTTCTCATACACCGTCTATCTTCCATACACACAGATTAAAAGAATATTACTTTCAATTACAAAAACTGATGATTAATAATATTAAAAGTATAATTAGTTAAAAGCACAAGTCATGACAACACGCGCGCGCACGCACACACACACACACACACACACACACACACACACACACACACACACACACACACACACACACACACACACAATGGAATGCATTAGGCAGTGATGTGGTGGAGGCTGACACCATACACAGTTTCAAGTGTAGATAAGATAGAGCCCAATTGACTCAGGAATCTGTACACCTGTTGATTGACGGTTGAGAGGCGGGACCAAAGAGCCAGAGCTCAACCCCCGCATACACAACTAGGTGAGTACACACACACACACACACACACACACACACACACACACACACACACACACACACACACACACACACACACACACACACACACACACACACACACGTAAAGTTTGATGGAGAAGATCGTGAGAAAAAATCCAGTAGCACCTCTGGAGAGAAGGGACTTGGTGACACACCGCCAACATGGGTTCAGGGAGGATAAATCTTGCCTGACTGGCTTAATAGAGTTCTACGATCAGGTGACTAAGATTAAACAAGAAGAAGGATGGGTGGACTGCATTTTCTTGGACTGTCGGAAAGCCCCATAAGAGGCTCTTATGGGGGTGCACAATACCCCATAAGAGGCTGGTACATAAGCTGGAGAGACAGGCAGGTGTAGCTGGTAAGGTGCTCCAGTGGATAAGGGAGTACCTAAGCAATAGGAAGCAGAGAGTTACGGTGAGGGGTGAGACCTCCGATTGGCGTGAAATCACAAGCAGAGTCCCACAGGGCTCTGTACTTGGACCTATCCTGTTTATGACATACGTAAATGGTCTTCCAGAGGGTATAGCCTCATTCCTCTCAATGTTTGCTGATGATGTCAAAATTATGAGATGGATTAAGACAGAGGAAAACAGCTTGAGGCTTCAAGAAGACCTGGACAAACTGAAGGAATGAGCTAACAAATGGTTGTTAGAGTTTAACCCAAGCAAGTGTAATGTAATGAAGATAGATGTAGGGAGCAGGTGGCCAGATACAAGGTACCTTTTGGGAGATGAAATTCTTCATGAGTCAGAGAAAGACCTGGGGGTTGATATCACGCCAGACCTGTCCCCTGAAGCCCATATCTTGAGGATAACACCAGCGGCATATGCCAGGTTGGCCAACATAAGAACGGCCTTTAGAAACTTGTGTAAGGAACCATTCAGAACCTAGTATACCGCATATGTTAGACTAATCCTGGAGTATGCAGCCCCAGCATGGAGTCCACATCTCGTCAAACATAAGACTAAATTGGAGAAATTTCAGAGGTTTGCCACTAGACTAGTACCCGAATTGATGGGTATGAGCTACGAGGAGAGACTACGGGAATTAAACCTCTCGTCGCTGAAAGACAGAAGAGTTTAGGGGAGATGATCACCACGTTCAAGATTCTCAAATGAATTATAGGGTAGATAAAGACAATTTATTTAACACAAGGGGGCACACGCACTAGGGGACACAGGTGGTAACTGAGTGCCCAAATGAACCATAGAGACATTATAAAGAACTTCTTTTAGTGTAAGAGTAATTAACAAATGAAATGCATTAGGCAGTGATGTGGTGGAGGCTGACTCCCTACACAGCTTCAAATGTAGATATGATAGAGCCCAATAGGCTCAGGAACCTGTACACCAGTTGATTGACAGTTGAGAGGCGGGACCAAAGAGCCAGAGCTCAACCCCCGCAAACACAACTAGGAGAGTACACACCCACCCACACACGCCTCCACCCTGGACCACAGAGGACCTGGGAGCCGACACCTGCCACCAACTCATGCCTTGCAAGATGATAAACCATAAATATTTAACCTGTGGGAATGTCTGGAGAACCTCGAGGGCCAAGTGTGTGTTACAGTCTCCGCTGAACCATGACGCTGTGTATCATGTTAACCATGAAATATGAGTACGTCTGTGTGTGTGTATTTACATCCACATGGGTGTTCTGTGGGTCACATAGATGTTCTGTGGGCCACATAGATGCTCTGTAGGCCAAGGTAGGCCTATGCTCTGTGTTAAAATCATTAATCTGACCCTTTCGGTTATATTCATCAACATATGTTTACAAGAAAGACTGCTACCAATATATATATATATATATATATATATATATATATATATATATATATATATATATATATGTGACGATAATCTCCTTCAAGAGATTGAGCCTGCTCTTCCCTCCATAATCACGTCGTTGAAATTATATAAAACGACTATGGAAGACATGTCCAACAACGACAACAACACCAGCAAGGCTTGCCAGGGTGAGCAAAACGTATGCAGCCAGCCACCTGTTCGGACTCAAACCACCAAACTACATGTTGATCGCTACCGGCTCCGCTGATTGGTCGCCGGTCTGGCTGCACCTGCACTCGCCCCCCCCATACTACTTGATGTCTGGGGTCGCCACGACCTCAGACCTCAGAATATTCGGTGCTCTCGTTGTCACCACTCCTCCCGGCTAGACGCTAGCGTGTACTGAGAGAAGTGGTGGCTTAAAGCCAATATTCCAGCACCTCCCATTTACTTTTGTGTTGCACTTCTTGTTATTTTTGCCTTAACGTAACTTTTAATTGTGTCATTTAATTATTCTTATTATTTTGATGGATTGATTTTATTATACAAATTTGTTTGTCCATTTTTTCATGTTTTGATTTATTTAACGTAATTAAAATTTCATTGTTAAAGTTTACATGTGTTTTGTGTGTCTTCTCCTTACCTTACCACAGACGAAGTTCCAGTTTTCTATTTTTTTTTATAACTATGTGACGAGGCCATACCCCTAGCCTTAAACAGCCGAACACCAACGCGTTACCGTCACAAGTTATATGGGGGCCTGTCCTAGGAGCTTCACTCAGGTACTGGTGCCAAGTGGTAATTTATGGTAAGCGTATTTAACTTTGTTAACGTAGCTTTACTATTTTTCATTCAATTTCATTTTTTATAAGGTGCGGTGTATTGTGCATTACGAGAGTAACATATAGTGAAGGTGAGACAACTTTGGATTACGTGGTGACTGTAGGCCGCAGTCATACTCTTAATTGGTCATCTCTCCCTCCGTGTTATTACTCGTATTTACCATCTATGTCCCTTGAATATTTCTCATTCTGACAGATCATCATATTGGTACCCTGGTACTGTGGTCTGCCCCGGGTCAAGAGTACCCAATCTTCTGCAATCTGACTGTAGGAGGACAAAGAGGGCCATAGTTCCTCTAGCTCGAACTTTAGTTGCTGAATTGGGACCTCAGCAGCAGTTCTCGTCACCAGTTGACACCTCGCACCCCTACACGTCAGTCAGAGATGATGATACATACAACGGTAGGGAATTAGCTTATTTTTTCAGAGCACAAAAGTTCGCTAATTCTGCAAGTATCATATTAAATTCAGTAGGAAAAACTTGCTTTATGTCCTATAGAGACTCGGCAAGGTATGCCTACATCCTTGGACTACCAATTTTACTTTTGAAGCATTTAACTGTTTCATTTGTTTTCGAAACTCTGTTTCATTTGTTAGTAGGATTTTCTTGCCCTTATCCTCTTACATGAGTACCGGGTACAAGATTTCCTGCGCCCTTGATTTAATTTAATCATTTATCTTTTACTTAACTTTAATTGTTAAAGATCACACAGGATAGGTACCAGTTGCCACGTTGTCCTGTTTCTGACATTTCACTATTGAATATTCGTGTACCTTTATTTGCTAATTTCACCATGTTTCGTCTCCAAACTTTCCGTGCAAATCCAGCAGGTGAAATAGGGACTTTAAGTCGTGCCAAGAGGACTGAATTACAAACTCTTGCACATGAGTATCAACTAGAAGTTCCCTACCAAGCCAACAAAAATGACCTACACAACCTGTTGCTGGATTACTATTTAGAGCAAGGTAAGATAGACTCTGAAACTCATGAAACTTACTATATTGCAGAGAAAACTGACTTGGCAACGATGAAACTTAAACTAGAGCTGGCCAAGATTGAACGTGAGCAGCAAAGAGAAGCAGCTGCCATACGAAGGGAAGAACACGAACGCGAAACCGCCTTGAGGAGAGACGAACAAGAACGCGAGGTCGCATTACTCCGTGAACGTGAACGAGTGCAGCTTGAAGCACTCCAGGAGCGGGAACGCGTAGAGCTTGAAACCAAACAACGCGAGTTGGAAATACAACGCGAACATGACAAGCAACA